TCTGTATTTGTACCATAATAACCGAGCTTGCTTGTAGGGTGCGTATTGTCAAAAAACAACCTCCCACAGAAGCTGAGTTTTTCAGTCTGATGTGAGGCAAGGAGCATCTTGTGTGTGATATTCTTTACAATCTAGATTTATGTTTAGCATGCAAGGCAAGCAGGCTCAAAAGATCCCATACACTAGTCGGGAGTCTAAATAAAAGAAGCAAAGTTCATTTTTTAAAGAGGGGGCAATTGTCCCTCCGCGAAATTCACAGACAATTACGACAGAAAAGATAGTTGCCAGATTAGAAAGCTACCTATGAGTAGTTTGGAGAGTGGAGCAGTACAGAGTGTAATAGGTGCAGGCGTTCTGCTCGTTTGACGCTTAACTTGTATTTAATGTTTTTAACTTTTGAAATCTCAGGCGGATCAGAGAGGCCAAGAGCGTCCTTAGCAAGCAAAATAAGTCTGGGAAGAAACACATTTTCCTTGGACACAGATTGTCTTAAGGAGAAGCTCCGAAATGAGTGTCTCATCTGAGCAGGTACATGACATGTCTAAATTCTGCCTGGGATCATTGTGGGAAGCGTGGCAGTTACCAAATCTTGACCTTAGGAAAGTTAGTCATGCAGAAGGTGTGCGGATTTGAATGAGATTTGCATGCTGCAGCCAAGACCTCCCGAAGTAACGACCCTCCTTCTTATAGTGTGTGAAGTATTCCTTTTGTGTGAATTTACGGGGTGAGGCTTCAATGATCCCCCACAAATTTGCATTTAAATAGCGACATCAAGCGATTCGCGTGCCACACACCAGTGGGCTCCCAGATGTCAAGCCGAAGTCAGTCAGATGGCCATTGCCCAGCTGTCCTCCTAAACATCATACCAGAGCATGCAGTGACCTTAAAGGAACAGAGCCCTGCTTGGCTTTTCCACTCTCTCGGCTCCAAAAGCACTTTCGGTTTATTCCTTCAGCATATACCCCGTGTACAGACATCATCTTGTAAAAGCTTGAAAAGGAAATCTCAACCTCTACAATAAATCAAGTGTAAGATTCCTTTCCTCCGTCTCCCAATGTTCTAACAACACACAGCGTAATAACACATAATCACATACTGTACTTGGCTCTCACAGATTAAAATTGATAGCCTCATTTCCAATGCAGTTATAGGATTCTTCTCAACTTTATTATTTTTTTTCCTCGGGACCATTCTCGTGGGACTATTATCTTAATCATTTCAAATTTTTGTTCGGAAAGGAATCGTTGCATTCCGATGTTTTAAATCATGCCACTTCTCACACGCACGCACTTGGTAGTAAAATGCAATACTGGTCTGCATGGGGCTCACATCCAGGGCTGCTTCTTGCCTTCTATCGGTGTGTGGGAGCTTCGTTTACCAAAGAAACTTTGTCAGTGGAAAGTTCAGCTAGGAAACTGCAGAAGTGATGACTATACAAGTTCCAAACTTGCCTTCGCTAACTTACGATTGGTTTCTTAGAGGGACAAGTATAGAATGAGAATCAAACTTGCCAACATACATTTTTCAGTGTTATTGTTTTAAGGCGCCTTCATTATTAGTGTATTTGGTTACAGTAGGTGTAATTTATGCCTGATTTAACCGAAACAGATCTCCACTAACTTTTGGTTCCTGCGTTTCAGAGGAGATATAAATTCACCTTTCAGGTATTTTAATATATCAATGGAATATCCAGGTAAAGTAGATTTCAGATTTTGGGGTGGGTTGTGGTGGACCGCTGATTAATATTGAATACGGTTCCCAGGGTAAAGACTTAGCTAAGGTTTTAATTAGTATATCATAGTGCAGTTTTTAAGAAAGCAACATTGCAGAGAAAGTCTGAATTAATACTACTCCGGTAGTTTCGGCACGAAGTGCTTATGTAGTGAGTAACTAGATTAGGCAGTGGGAATCATTCCCCCGCATCCAAGGCTGGAGTCTTGGATTCCGGGGCTGCACAAGACCTGTGTTCTTTTGCTGCGGGCGCAGAGGTTTGGCGGTCCCTGTTCACAGTTAACATCTCCTCTCCTGGAGAAGCGACAAGCACTGAGATGCTGAAAAGGTTTCAAGAGCTGGAACTGAGTCCGACCTACCTGTCTGTCTTTCTTCACTAAATCAAACTTACCACTTCCTTCCAAACAGCTCACAGCCCCAACACAAAGGGCAAAGTTCCAGGGACAAACAAGGAGAACGGTTTAGAGTGGATGAGGGGGATTTTAAGAGATCCGTATGCTAATTCGTCCACATACAGTTTTGTGTGCTGGACGGGTTAAACCGTATCACGGATTTAAGAAACTGTCACTATTTTTTGTCTAACTATCCTCCATTTATTTGTTTATGGATTTGTTTGTTTTAATTATTCAGATACTTGGCTTGGATTCAGGTTCTTAAACATCCAGAGCTTCAGGTAAAAGCCGAATGAAAATAGGTACCGAATATATATACTTAATCAAATAAGCCTCGCCTTCCAACGTCTGGAAAGAATAATAAGAATTATTAATAG